GGACAGAATAAGACTTAAAATAAAAAAATTTTAAAAAAATGCAACGGCTTTATATTAAGGAAAAAATAAACATTACATGGATTAATTTCTGTTTAAATACAGAATGGGAAGCAGAGAGTAGATGACTGACTTGTGAAAAAGTTACAGAAAGCTGGTTAATTATCCAAGAAATTTTACCCTCTTCATGTTCCTTTTCTAACTCAGCTATTACACAGATGAGGGGGAGGCAAAGATAACAGAGCGTTGTCTTTAAGAGTTTGCTATGCTCCCTTTGATATCCAGTGTTCACCCACCTACCCCCCATATTCAAGTAAAATATTAATTTGAAACCTAACATTTAAAGTAGCGAAGCTCTGAACACACAGTGATGAAACATAATTATTACATGCTGAATAAAGTGCTGAACCTTAGGGTGTTTTTCTTCACTTACACACTTTGTTATACTGCTGAGAATCCTTTCGTCCATGCAAATCAGAGGCAAGCTCTCAAGTAGAGGAACTGAGCATGATTCAGCATATTTAAAAAGGATTTATACCCATTCTTAGAAGGACAACCAGAGGAAACACCATCTGAGGTCTAAACAATGATATCTGCTTGCCCTTTGATCTGAGTTTAAGAACACTTTGTACAACTTTTTTGTTGAAATACCACTGAATTTCTCTTTTACTATTTTAAATCTCTTTAGGAGAAAATCTACTGCTTCTTTGCACCACATTCTCCCAACTTTTTTTTGCTGTGAGTAGCTTGCAGGCATGGATTTATTTGCTGCTAACAAAAATCTTCCTTCATAAGTACAGGCAGCTTACATGAAAAATAGTAGTGCTGATCCTATGTTTATGAGAAAAAGACAGTACAGTGTATCTGGTTACACATACAAGTAGGGAGTATTCCCATTTTTCTTCTAATTTATGTTTCCCAAGAGTAATTTTGTCAGAAGATTGCCAGTATTTTTAGAATAAGTTTCTTATTACGTGTACTAATACACACTGATTCTCTTTTCTGAGCATAATTTGAGTTTTTTATTTCAATTTATCTTAACATCTAGAGATCAACACCTCATTAATTCAAAATAAATAAATCAAGTCCGAAATGCAGAGATTTATAGAAACCTTTGCACTGGACTCAGATGTAATGCCTATTACATATTAACATACATATGGGTAACTAATACAAAAGAGTTTTGTTAATAAAAAACATTATGATATAATCAAACACCATGAAACCTCAATATCCTAAATGTCTTCATTTACTTGCAGGTATACCATTTCTAAATGATCACCAGATTAGTGAAATACAACTTTTAAATGGGAGCTGTATGTATGTTTTCATTAATTCAATTTTTATTAAGCATCTCTTATTTGCTCAGCATTATGTTAGGAACTTAGGTTACAATAGTAGATAAGCCTGGTTGCCTTTTGAGACTGATATCCTAGAGGGGTGACAAATAAATGAGTAAGCAAATTTAAAAAGAAAAAAAAAAATACACTCCATGTGATAAGTGCAACCGAGTAAAATAAACAGGGTGCTATGATGGTAAAGTGGGTGGGGGCGGGGGACAGCATTGGTTTCTATAGAGTGGTAAGAGAAAGCTTCTCTCAGGAGGTGAATTTTAAGCTAAGACCTGAAGGATATTTCGGGATACTTCTCCAAGGTCACCAAATTGGCAGGCTTGCTTATTAGGCTGCCAAGACATTTTTAGCATTAGAAAACAAGTAGAAAATGGCATCTGTAGCCCTGATTGAATGCAGGTTCATGAGCACACCAGCTTCCCCGGGCACGCTGCACACCAGCCAGTTAGCATTTAGGAGCTTACACACCCCCAGCCTATTCAACCGGAGTGGGTTTAAAACAGTCAGCATAAACAACAGTGAGCTGGTCCAATGACCAGCATTTGGGATATGGGAGAAAAATGTATCCTGTTGATTCATACTTCCTGATAGCCACTCTAGCTGACAATGATCAGGGTTTTTAAGTGTATTTCACGAGTAAATTATTCTTCACCCCCAAGGGAAAATGATGTTTACAACTATGTAACACTTTCTCTTACACTTTCAGTTTATAACTTATCTAATTCAGTGGGTATAAGAACACTTTAAAACAGAACTGTGACATGAATCTTTCTGTAGGTTCTTTGATAGATGAGTCATGTAATATAGTTAACATTGTCACAGCTTAGGAAATATGTGGAATTCTCCCAACATCCTTATTTAGATAATCCACACTGCTAAGCAATTACTTTCTTCAGATGAACTGTCCTGCTCAGAGCCATTTTAGCCTCTCATGAAATCCCCCTTTCCTACTGCTAAATGGATTAAGATGAAATAGAACTACTTGACTGGCAAGTGGCATGGCTTTGTGACTTCAATTCCATTTATCTGGAAAAGGTTTTCTCCTCTAGGTACCCAAGTGTAGTCCAGATCTGGACCTGCAGATTAGTTGTTATAACTTGTAGTCAGAAAGCCCAGTGGTTTGATAGGATGGGGCTTGGAGCAGACAGAGTTCCCTACCAGGAATCTCTTTCAGTTCCATATCAGAGGGGGAGGGGGAGGTGTGAAATTAATACTAATATTGTTAAATTCTCTCTGAATTTTTAATTTTCAGTGGTATTTTTTCAGATCTTTAACAATCCTTTCTGAAAAATGAAAGTGTTCATAGGGAGATACTATGTTAAACTATCACTTTAGCAGGATTAGTTGGCAAGCAGCTTTAAGCAGTGACTCAGAAGCAATGTGTACCTGTAAGACCAGGAAAGGTCAGAAAAGCAAGGGAGGAGGAGAATTGGAGGTCATTAAACATAGTAAATGTCACCATGCTTTACAAACTTGCCTCAGGCCAACTCTCACAATTTCAAATACCATCTAAGGTAGTGGTTCCCAAACACTGGAATCACCTAGGGATCTTTAAAAATGCTGATACCTGGCTTCCACCACACACATTCAGTTTTAATTGATATGGGTACTAGATTTTTTTTTTAAAAGCCCCCAGCTGAATCAAATATGTAGCAACCTTTGGGAGCCACTAACAGAAGGAAGCACTGCTCTTAATCACATATTGGGATGATTTATTGATTTCCTCAGACAGCAGAAATCTCCTATGCTGGTGCTTGTTGACCATGGTAGCACATTAGAAATGCCTGAGGCACTTTTTGAAAAGATACCAGAGACCACCCTCAAAGACTCTGACTTCATTGCTGTGAGGAGGAGCCCCATCATCCCTCAGTTCTGTAAGTGTCCTCAGATGATGCTAATGGGCAGCCAAGGTTGACAATCATGGTCCAAGTTCGGGAACTGTTTTCCAGGAGACTACAACACGATTCTCTTCTTCCACTTTGCCATGTTGGGACTACCCTCAAGAGGCAATAAAACATTTCCCCAAGGCTGTCGGGGAAACTTGGATGAGGGAGGTGTGAGAGAGGACAAGTGGTGGAATTTACTAAGCCAGAGAAGCAGAGATGTTACAATAAGGAATGGCGCTTGTCCTCTGCACCTCCCTCCCCAAACTTGATTGATTGGCAGGAGAATTTCCTTAGAATGCTTCCTGGAAGTAGCTCAGCCTTGGATTCAGTTCCAATAAATTGTGAAAATTCTTGTCCAATCAGAACCCCTGGCACTGCAAGTAGCAAGATTGGCAGGCCTTGAGCCTCCACTCCCTGTGAGATCCTGTTTCGTGAATTTCCCAGGAAGATTTCTGCACCACTTGAATGCCAATCGTCCTGTTTCACATCCCCCCTTCGCCCCCATTCCTCCTTTCTTCCCCAAAACTCAGCGGAGTTAAGAATCATCCCATAGATATACTTGTAAACAACTCGCCAAAATAGTTTACATGGTAGTCATTCAAGTAAATGTCCTTAAATGACAAACGGAGGTCTTTGACGTGGCTTGGCGTCGTGCGTGCTACTTGGGCAAGTTTCTGCTAGCCCACTCTGGGCCTGGACAGAGCCACGCGTCCCACGGGAAAGGAAGTCCGCGGAGACGCACCTCACAGAGCCGCTGCACCCACTCCGGGCGTGGCTACTGCAGCCCCATTTCTCCCCACGGAGAACGCTCCCCGCTATCTCTTTGTGTGCGCTAAACCGAGTCAGCTTATGAATGAAAGGGAGCACAAATCGGAAGCATTGACTGGGCCGGGAGGGGGGGGGGGGCTTTTCATCATTTACAGATGAAAAACTGGGGGTGGGGGGTTGGAGGAGGCTATGTAACTCCGTCGGGGTTTGCCACAGCACATTTGTGGCGGAGCCCGATTTAGCCGCCCTTAAATTTCCATTCTGTTGCCTGGCAACCGGTTGAGACCAGCTCAGCGCCCAACCCCGGCCCCTAACCCGCACCCTTTCTCTGCCCGTAAAGCTTGGGCAGCGTTGATCAGAAGTTCAGCCTTTGGGGCACTGGCCAGAGGCGTGTGAGAAAGGTTACTGCACGGTTACCCTAGTTGAGCTCGGGATACAGCCCTAAACCCCCGCCAGCCCGGCGCGCCCATCCTCTGCCACCCTCCTCCCTCAGATCCGTGGATACCACTTAACACAATCACGTCAAGTTTCCAAAGTTCTCAGCTGCTGTTGGATTCCCTAAAAGTCCCAGTGGGGAAACTGGCACTCAGCGCGTTAAGGGTGCAAACGAAAACAGTTAGGAGGGGAAAGAGTGTCGAAGAGCCTTCTCCTTCCCAGCTGGCTACACTCGGGCCAGACTTTTCTGCCACAGTCTAGTTAACTTGGCCCGAGCCGGGCACTCTTGGGGAAAGCGCGGAAAGTACTTCGAGCGCCCGCAAAGACGCGCCTGCGGGGCGCCGCCTCCTGCAGCCGCAGAGTGCAGCGCGGCTCGGGCGCCAGGGACCGCACGTGCAGCCCACCGCGGTGCAGGTGGCGGAGCGCAGCCTGCCTCTCCTGGCGTCCCCGCCTCGCCAACCCGGACTCGCGCGCCAAGCGCTCCTTCACCCTCTCACCCTGCACCGCCCAGGCTCGGGAGACTGGAAAGGGGGCATTATCGTACGCTATCCCAGATCCTTACCCAGGTTCACAAAGCTCATGACCATGTCCGCGTCGTTGAGGAAGGCGCTGTCCTGCGCGCTGGTCAGAGGGGACGTGCCGCTGCCGCCAGGTCCCGGAGCCAGGAGGCTCTTGCGGTTGGGGGGATGCGCAGCTCCGGGGGGTGGCTGTCGGGGCTGGGACAGGCTGGCCCCTCTCCGGGGCCCGGGCTGCCGCCTCTCCTCGTCCAATGGCCAGTCCTCGTCGTCGTCGTTAGACAGGGCGTTGTACAGATCCAACATGAAGAGGGGCGCGGACTTTAGCCGCCCGGGAGGGGGCTCCCCGCGAGGCTGCTGCTGTGGGAGCGCAGGGGGCTGTGGCTGCTGGAGGCCGTGCAAGGGCCGGGGCCGGTGAGGGAGCCCCAGCACCGAGAGGATCTCCTTCTGCATCTCCCGCTTCTCGTGCGTCTTGAGCCGGCGGTAGAGGAAGCCCGAGGAGGAGGAGGACGGCGGCGGATGCTCCGCGTGGCTCGGGCTCCCGCTGTCCACCAGCAGCGCCCCCCCGCCGGCGGCAGCGGCGGCCGGCAGGGGCAGCCGCAGCGGCGGGGGCCCGCAGCAGCTGCACAGCAGCCCCCACCACCAGCACAGCCACTGCGCCCTCTGCCCCAGCCCCGGCATCCCCGCCCGGCCGGGCTTGCCCCGTGGGCCCCGCGAGGCGTGGAGCAGTGGAGCGAGGCCGGAGCGCGGCCGCTGTGGCCCTTGGCGTGAACAGCCCCCGCCACCTCTCGGCGGGCTCGCTTCCCCTTCCTGCCCCTCAGTCCTTATCTCTCATGGTCCACTGGGGCGCCCCCAATTGCCCAGGATGCAGGGAGGCGAAGGGGCGATCACCGGGAGAACCACACTCCCGCGCAGGTCTCTAGAAGCGCAAGATCCAGGCCAGGTGCGTTCGAGTCCCGGCAGCGCTGCGGCGAGAGCCCTTGTCCCTCGGCAGGTCACCGCGGGGTCACTCTCCCGCCTCGCTGCCCGCGCACGTGCGCTATCCCTCGCCCTCCCGGGCTGCTGAGTGGGGCCCGGGGCCGTGAGAGCTCGGGACCGCTCACCAGCTGGGGGGGATGCCAGGCAGCATCCCCGCGCACGCCTTTCCTTGGCCGCTGTGAAGTTTACTCCACCGTAGGGCCCAGGCTGTGGCGACAAGGAGTCCAGGGATGCCAATCTGCTCCGCGAGGCTTAACTCCCTTCTCGCTCACAAACTCCTCGCCCCTCTGCCCTCGGGCACTGTCGCTCCCCCTCAGAAACTCCCGCGCTGCTCTACTTTCCAAGCGGAGGCGGCAAGGATCTTCTTTCCGTTCCGTGCTCTCCGCGCTGCCCTGCAAACCCCGCTCACAGAAGGGATGGGAGGGAAGGGGACCGGTGCACGAGCAGTGGACGCGGCGACGGCGCCGGAATTCGCTTTCTCCCGCCTCTCCGCGCTGCGCTCTCCTCAGCAGCCAACGTGGGCTTTCTGGTGCGCCTCTCGCTCAGGTACAGCACTCCAGCCCACGGGACTCCCCGCCCTCCCGGGAAACGGACAGGCGGACAGCCAATGGAGAAGCCCGTCTCTCCTGTATTTAAATAGGCCCGCCCCCTTCTTTCACCCTCCCTCTCCCGGGAGGCGTCGCCTGGGCGGCGAGTAGGTTTCAAGTACACAGACAATTCTTGGAGGCACCCAAGGAGCCGCGAGGTAGCGAAGGCAAAGAAGTCATCACTCCTAAGAATGATCTGATCAACACCCCAGTGTGAATCACACACAGCTCTTCAATTGATGCCTTAACCAAATAAAAGCAAAAATCAGCTGTTAAATCAAGTCTGTCTGGATTGAGAAAGAACAGAAAAGTGATAGTTTTCCCATTCCTTTCTTAGTTTCTCGTATTGATGTATAATATAGGCCTTCAGCGGACACGTGGCTTTCAAAGGCAGCTGCTGCAAGTTGGGACACACCCTCTCCAAAGCAGCTCACAAACTGGCTGTGGAGAAGGCCAATGTAAGCCAGACCCGGCATCTGGAGGGTTGGGGGCCAAATATTTTGACTTATCTCTTCATTTGGGCTTTGGCTTAGCTTCTTAAGTTAGCACCCAAAAGAAAGAGGGTGTAATCGGATGATATTACTAAAATGCCACCCACTACTTTCTTGAAAATGTCTCAATGCTTCTCCAGTGTTTGTCTATTAACATTGCATTTTAATATATGGAAATAAAATAAATGCAAGATAAGTGCAACTTGAGGCGAGGTGGTAAAGCTAAACCCAGTAAGCGTAGGAACTTGGCATATTCCCACTCAGGACAGTAGACAGGGCCCTGAAACTCAGATAGCTGTGGACATTAGACAAGATCAAACACGTAAAAAACATGTTCCACTTCCATGGCAGGCACACTTCTCAATCAAAGGCACCAACCCTCAACCAAACATCACCACCACTGTCTGCCTTTCAGGATGTAAATTTATTTCCCCTTATACTATCCAAGAATGCTCAGTAATCTATGGATCCTGGGCAAATTCACTTAAAACATTCAGATCTTTTACCTGGTGAAATGTGTGTATTAGAAAACAAAAACTGCAGTTTGCTGAACCTGGCAGCCTTAGTTCAATAGTCCAAGGCGTTTGAGGGCCAGAATATAGGATTCAGGGACTTAATGAGATCATGGGATTTCTGCTGATCCAAAGGTTGTAAGTGTGTTTATCTTCGTTCAAAGAATCTAGTTTGTATGGGTAAGGGTCTTTGCCACCCACCATCCCGTCACCCATTGGATCACCCTTTTTCCTTCTGTCTTGACCCAGACACAGTGGTCATTTAGGACAGTCTTTAATTCTACAGATGTCCCATAGCCATTGTTCTCAGGCAGGGCAACTTCAGCAACCCTGGAGGCCAGTCCTGAACCATCTGCAGGGATTTTTTTCATCTGAAAAGAGAAGGCATCACTACTTGGTCCAGGATGCCAGGACTCTTAGAATTCAAGAGCCTATATCACATCTTTCTCTGTATGGGACGTACAGAGCATAAAATTATTGCAGTGCATAAAATCACAGCAGCCAAGACGTCTGATCAGAAGTTCTGAAATCTTGTTAAGTATATGTAGGCTTCCTGGCAGGTTCCTCTTTTCTCAGACTTAGTCACACCTTCTTTTTAAGACTTCTAGTGAGACACAGGCAGAGTAACAGCAGTTCCAACCTTTAAGGGCAGTGGAGAAAGCACTAGAAAAACTGTGAAAGCCTAGAGCATAGACAAGGGCATTTAGGTAGGGTTATGCCACTTAAAACACAAAAGTAGATTGTGACCCATCTATATGCACCTTTTGTAAGTGCATATCTGATCTAGTACACACACAGCCTTCCCATTTTCTTAGATACTTGGTAAGAGGTAGATGGACCTGTATAGCGTGGGTTTAAAATGGAACTTAGTGGTTTATTATCAATTAAACATCCGAGCAGCAACCCTGATTCAGGTCTGCTCTGGACTTCCTATCCCCACCAAGATGGTCTCTCAGTTCTTGAGTAATGCTAGAAAAGGGGAGGGGTGGGTGCTGATGATGGGCACAAGAGCCAGAAAAGTCATGTGAAGTAAGTTATGACAATGATCACACAGGGACATTCAACTAAAGGCCACAAAGAGGGTGGGCTTTTCTCATGTCCCACCACTCCCAGCATGTGCACATGATCATCGGAAAACACTCAGAAACACCCTTCGTTCCATTAGGGGCTGAAGGGATAAAGAGATGTGGTTGTAAAATTTTAATAACCTCAAAACTGGGGTCACTGCTTATCCAAGTCAATTGGAACTTCAGGTAGAAAAGGAAACCCTAACTACCACCTCACCTTCTCCCTGCTTCTGTGACCCATTCCCATCACACACCCCGCACTCCCCAGTAGTCTTAGGACAGGTAGCTGGACAAAGTCTAGAAGTGATTCCGGAGGGGTGGCATGAAGGCAGAGAACAGGTCTGGCTTTGGAGTCTGCTGGATGTGTGAACCAAACCCAAAGGAGAAAAATTAGATGTAACTTCGCCCCCTGCAGGACACCAAAATATTGCTGCCCCTTCCTCTGTGTGCTGAACAAGCTTCATTAAGTTCTCTGTAGGTGTCTCCAAAACATCTGGGTGGAAAGAGGAGGAATTCAGTCAAGAAGCCGGATGTGGGAACCAATCCATATCAAACATCTGGCTGCCTGGCTGACATTTCATGCAGATGGTCATTAGTTTTCTGGAAATAGGTTGCCTGTCTGACTCCTGAGCCCTTAATGAAGAAACGAAGAACCCTCGCCATAAAGCTCAGGTTTGTCCCATGTCTTTGGTGATACCAGGGATAGGGTGAGAATCTTGTACCCAGGCACTCATTGGTGCACAGGGTAATTCACACGACAAATTCTTTAAAACAGCAGTTCTCCCTGTTCCTTTTATATTATGAGTGTTTCTGTTATATGTTTATAACACATAGGATCAAATAATTTGTTTTTAAAAGATGCTGTTCATTAATTTGATATGATAAATATTTTATACTTTCCTTTGAATTACATTATTAGCAATAAACTGCAATTGAAGTCTTTGCTTTTATACTAAAACATACCTTGGTCCCTTTCACTGGACTTTGCTAAAGGTTTAGGTAGCTGCTTTTAGAATTAATTTAACATGAGTGTTATAGCTGTGCTGCTCTTGTGTCTGCATGCCTTGAATCCTTGGGGAACTCCACTTAGAATGACTACATTTTTATCTTTAATGTTAATATAAGGAGTTGGATATTTCTTCTTTTTTAATCCTCACCCAAGGATATTTTTCTATTTATCTTCAGGTAGATGGGAGGGAGGGGGAAAGAGAGAGAAACATCCATGTGAGAAAGACACATCTACCGGTTGCCTCCCAAAGGACCCTGACCAGGACCGGGATGAACTGCAACCGAGGTACGCGCCCTCGACTGGAATCGAACTGAGAATCTTTGGTCCGCGGGCTGACGCTCTAACTGCTGAGCCAAACCAGCCAGGGCAGGAGTTGGGTATTTCTTAATATTAATGTATAAATATAATAATTTGCTCAAATTTTTAAAATATCAATTTGGAATAGAGTGAAAAGGAAATATGTTAAGCAAATGTTTGTGGAGTATAAGAAATGAAAATTTGAGAGTTAAATAAATATTGCTTCTGAACGCTACACCTGTGAGGCAGGCTTCAAAATACGTGTCTCATCCAAAAGCCAGTGGTAACATTTACATTCACTCACACTTTCCTTCCACTGTCGGCCGTTCAAAAATGCTGGGCATTCACACTTCAAAATATCCTTCGAGCCATCATATTTTCCTACTCGTGAAGGACATCTGGTGGCCAAGTGAAAAACTAATACATAACCTGTTTCCAGAGGTTTTTTTCCACACTAGAACCCACAGAGCAAATCTGTTACTTATGTGTGCTTCAAACTTTTCACACAAGCTCCGATCTTTATCATCCGAGGATGTAGACTTCTACATACTATCAAAACGGAGCTTTAGAAACATCCAGATGGTTAGTTTTTAAATTGTTCATTGGATCATTGACAAGTGCAGACTGTCTTTTTTTTTTTTTTTTTTTAACTGAACAAAACAATGCTTAACATATTTTCATCACTAGCTCTACTATCCCTGAAGAGCTGTACTTCCTAAGTCGCTGAACCCTACTGACACTGGGCAGCTTCATATCCTGTGTTGGCCTCTGAACAGCACTCCACTCTGTGGCCCCCTTTGTACCCCATGTTCCGGACATGTCTCTTGTGTGTCAACTAGGAGGTTCCATGAAAATACAACATGACTGTGCTGCCAATCCTTAACTAGCAGAGTTCTGA